AGTGGGTGGACTTGACCTCAAGGACGTTCTTCTCAATCATGGCAAAGGAAAAACAACCCCCCATCCCCAAGGAGCCGTCCGATCCAACCGATGCCGTGGCAACCCAGGAGTACGAGGACTCTGTTACCAAGTATCGCAAGTGGGAGAAGGCCGATGCGGCTAACATTAGCGTCTTCATCGGCTCCACTCCTTCCGAACTTGTCAACACGTTCCACAACTACCCCGCTTTCAACGCCATTTGGAAGCATCTCCGGACAGGTTCATGAATAAGACGGCGGTCGGGGTGGCCATCCTCATTCCTAGCATGTTTCAAGTCCGCCTTGAGGATTACGCGGGTATGGCCGACTACATCGCCAAGGTGCAAACCATCCATGGCGAGCTCAAGGAGCTAGGTATCATCTTCCCCGAACAAGCTCCTGCAGCCGCCCTTCTTGTTGGCCTCACCTCGGCACACGAAGTCACAAGGAAAATGCTCCTCACGTTCTCGGCAGAAGACCTCATTTTTGCTAAGGTATCCTCCGCCCTCCTCTCCGCCGAGAAAGACTCCTCGGCCCAAGCCAAGGCCTACGCCCTTCGTGCTCCCGTGCCTCAAGCAAGTGTCGCATCGGCACTGGCCTCGGCGTCCTTTCAGCGTAACCGCTTCCCTCCATGCACCTACATCGTCAAGTATGGCAACCGCAAGGGACAAGTGTGTGGTGGCACTAACCACCCTCTCGCCACGTGCTTCAAGAAGAAAGACGACGAATGGTATGCCATCCATGGAGTCGACAAAAAGCCGCCGAATTGGATGCGTCCTCGCAAGGCCAACGTAGTTGAGGCACAGACCTTGCTCAGGCTAGTGCTAGTGATAGTGCCCCTGCTGATGTGCGCATCAACTTGTTGTTCCCTGGCACTGCCATGATTAATGAAGCAACTTCGCAGTACATCGGCTCATCACAGGCACCAGAATACATAGAATTCACACTTGACAGCGGGGCCATTCACACAGTGCTCAAGGAGACACTCTCCTTCAAACCCTACACAACACCCATTCCTCTCCTGGGAGCTAATTCAAGCTTCACCACTCTTGCCAAGGGTTCATCCACAGTCTCGTGCCCCGCCTTCCCATCTGGCACTGTCACTGGCATGTGCGTGCCTTCACTACGCCACAATCTAGTGGCTCAAACGGAAATTCAGGAGGCCGGGTTACACACCATCTTCTCGGAGAACGAGAACTATTGCGACATCATTGATCCACTCACCATCAAGGTCTTGGCTCGCTTCACCCTCAATAGCAGCGGCCTTTACACGCTACGCATACCCATCCCACAGGTGTCAACCACCCAAGCACAGGCTACTATCACACCATGCTCATGTCGCAGCTTCTCCAACCCGACCATCCTCTACCACCATCGGCTTGGGCACCCAAACTTCCACACGCTTGCTGACATGGCCTCCAGGAAACTTCTTCTCGGCCTGCCAGCCTCACTTCCTCCACCACCTGACTCACCCGCCCCCACGTGCCTTGACTGCACCAAGAGCAAACTGCGCCAACAGCCCCACCCGGCCTCAACCTCAGTAGCAGCAGCCCCACTGGACCTAGTGCACATGGACATCTGGGGCCCTGCCCCGGTTGCCGCACGGGGTGGCCATCGCTATTTCCTTGTGATTGTTGATGATCACTATCGCTACATCTCTGTGCACCTCCTCCACACTAAGGCTGAGGCCCCGGAGGCAATCATGGCATGGGTTAACCAAGCACATACCTCCTTTGGCACCAAGGTCAAGCGCCTCCATTCGGATGGTGGTGGTGAATTTTGCAACAACAAGCTCAAAGCCCTCTGCTCCTCCCTTGGCATCCTGCAAAACTTCACTCTTCCTAACAGCCCGCAGCAGAACGGCATAGCAGAAAGCCGCAATCACACACTGACGCAGATCACTCGCTGCCTCCTCAGCCACTCCAACGCACCACTTTCACTCTGGGGGTATGCCCTTTATCATGCCGCCCTCCTCTACAACCTCTATCCCCACCCGCATCTCCCCGACACCACTCCCACCACACTCTGGCTCGGGAAAGCACCCACTGCTCGCCCTCTTCGCGTCTGGGGGTGCACCGCCTACGTACTCCTCAACCCCCAGGCTCGACGGCGGCAAGGTGGCAAGCTTGGTCCCAAAACTCAAACGTGCATATACCTTGGGCATAACGCTGACTTGCCTGACTACATCTTCCTCAACCCCTCCACTCAATAGTTAGTCTGTAGCCGTGACGTTGTCTTTGATGAGACCCGCCCCTTCCGGACCACCCTCTCTCGTGTGGGCTGACTTTGATGCACCTCCCGCGCTCCCGCCTGCGCCAGCTCCTTCACCTCCTACCTCCCCTGCCATCGCACCCTCTCCCTCGGAGGTCTCTGACCCGACCTCACCGGTGTCATCGGCAGCTGCTCCCCTATCCCCCCATTCTCCCACTCTCCCAACTGCACCACCAGTACCAAGCGCACCAATCACATACCATCGGTGGTCGAACCCTCGGGCCCCACCTCCTCCCCCTGTCCCCCCTTCCACTCAGGAACCCGCTTTCCCACAGTCGCCCGAGCTGATCACGTACCAGCGGCGGCCCATTCCCCCGCCCAAGTCTCCTAAATCAACCCCTCCGACACCGCCTGCCCCACCCTCTTCTCCTGTGGCTCATGGCACTCGCTCGCATGGCGCTGCTCTTCCACTGGCACTGGTTCTTCGATGCACCGCGACCACTCCGCCTCCTCATGCTGGGGGAGATGTGCCTTGTACCCTTCTGGAAGACAGGCATGAGGAGCTGTGTGATCTTCACGCAGTCATTCCTCAGCTCTCGCGCATCTTACCCGATATCATTGAATCACCCTCACTCAACTTCACGGAGAACCCGACCATCCCTGTCCCTATCACCGTCCAAGAGGCTCTCTTGGGTCCCCATGCAGCCGAATGGCGTGCCGCCATGGAAGCTGAGATTGAAGCATTTACCCGCAACCACTCCTTCGACGACGAGACTCCACCTCCAGGAGTCAACATCGTCGGGCGCAAGTGGTTGCTTCGTGTGAAACAGCTCCCAGACGAGGCCCCGGTGTTCAAAGCGCGTTACGTAGCCAAGGGTTTCACCCAGCAGCAGTACCACGAGTTCTGCAAGACCTTCTCCCCCACATCCAAACCTCCCACTATTCGCACGCTCATGGATGTCGCAGCACGAGAAGACTTTGAGATCAAATCCATGGACGCCTCATCAGCTTTCCTACAAGGACGCCTCAAGGAGACAATGTTCATGGACAGACCTGAAGGCTTCCTAGGAGAATTCCCTCCCAACACTGTCTGGAAGCTGAATCGCCCCATCTACGGCCTCAAGCAAGCCCCTCGCGAATGGCACAACAAGGTGAAAGAAGTCCTTCTCTCCCTGGACTTCCACACATCATCTGCGACTCTCTTCATTCGCCGTCATTCTGAGCCATTCTACATCCTTGTCTACGTCGATGACATCATCCTCGTTGCCAAGGACTCGGCCCAGATGACCTCTGTCCAGGCGGCCCTGAGCAAGGCCCTCCTGATGAAAGACCTCGGTGACCTCAAGCACTTCCTCGGGATGGAGATCACACGTGATCGCAAGGCTCGCACCATTTCCCTCTCCCAGGAGTTCTACATCAACAATGTGCTCAAGCGGTTTGAGATGGAGCTGTGTACACCTGTTGCCACCCCGCTGCCACTGCAACACCTCCTCACAGCCCCAGCTGTACCCACACCAGAGGCCTGCTCTGAGCCATACCCGGAGCTTGTTGGGTCCCTCATGTACGCCATAATGTGCACCCGGCCGGACTTGGCATATCCTGTCAGTGTCCTCTCCCGCTACGTGGTCCCCGGGCGCTTCACTGATCTTCACTGGAAGGCGGCAAAGCGGGTACTGTGTTATCTCCAGGGCACCAAGTCTCACGTTCTCACACTCGGTGGGCTCTCCCCTCCTCGGCTGGAAGGTTACACTGACTCCTCTTGGGCCGATGACCAGACCGACCGACGCTCCTCTCAGAGGTACTGCTTCACCCTTGGGAGCGGAATTGTCAGTTGGCGCTCCACCAGGTCGTCAGCAGTCTCCCTCTCCTCCTGTGAGGCAGAGCTCTACGCTGGCACCATGGCTGCCCAAGAGGCCCGTTGGCTCACCTTCCTCCTCCAGGAGCTTGGCTACCCTCAGCCCACTCCCACGCTCTGGTGTGACAACAAGAGTACCATCCACCTGTCCCAGGATCCTGTGTACCACACTCGCACCAAGCACATCGAACTTCGGCACTTCTTCATCCGTGACCTTGTCCAACGGGAGCAGCTCAATGTGGAGTATGTGGCTTCTAACTGCAACTTGGCAGATCTGTTCACCAAGCCCCTTGGGAAGGTTCCTCACCATTGCCTCCTCGGCACCATGGGGCTCTGCGCTCCGCCTTCTCTGCCATGAGTTCGATTGATGCCTATGGGGGGGTGTTAATGTTGGCCCTCAATCTCACCTTTGTACTTGTACTTTTAATATCCTAGTTTAGTGTTGTTTGCACTTTGTGTTTGGTTGGGTGTACACCCACATCCCAACCAAACCCAAATGTGATCTCCACAGCAATCTCCAACCCACCAATTGGAGATTGCCTTGGGATTACCTCCAATACCCTAGGATTGTCCCCGATTCTCTCCCCACCCTTACCTTGCCCATTTCCAATGTACTTAAAGAGCCTTGAGCTCATTACTAGTCTATGGATTCTAAGCTCAAGTTCTAACAGCCAGTTGCCATGGCGCCATTGCTGTCCTTGCATCCGGAGAGGAGCAACCGTAGGTCTCAAAAGGGGATGACAGGTGAGCCTGGGGCCTGGTAGGTTTGCCGTCATTTTGGAAGGAAGGTGATGGCGTTGGGGTGACGAGAGTGGAGGGCCTCCATAGTCTCACAGTTGGACGTGCTGACTGGGGTGCTCTCAAGAGCTTCCAAGGCGGGTAGAGAGTCAGGTTTATTAGGGATGTTCGATGATTAAATGTTGATAAACAGCTCTGCATTGTCAGCGAGATGTGCTGGTAAAAAGAGGGGGGAGGTGTTTGTTTGCTTGGGCCTGGATTGGTCACTGGGGTGGTCTAATTGGAAGGGTGAGATGCGGTTCGGGAAGCGTTCCGACGAGCAGTGGAACCAGTGGTTTGGTTCTCAGGTCTGGGCACAGGGGGAATTTCGGTTCGTGTGGAGAGTGGAGATTCAGGGTCACCCTCGCTATCAGAGGTGGTGTACGAACTCTCTAGGGTATGACCTTCAGGATTGGAGCTTCATGCTGTAGCCCTTCGCCTCGGCGGCTCTCGCCATCTCCCTCGCTGTGGCCATCTCGGAGGTGGGTCGCGGCCAGGCGCAGCCAGCACGGTGGGATTCTCCTTGGCCGCAGAGGTCATCACCTGTCTGGAAGGACCATGGCTGGCAGAGCAGGCGAGGGGGGACAGCATAGGCGCGCGCAGGACCGTAGGCGGCCGTATTCGGACCAGCTGGAAACAGCCAAGGCGACGGCGGCGGCGCCCGGCACTCGCGGAGGTTCCTGCTGCCATTCGCGCATTGTGGCATGAGGTAAACAGATATCGCCTCCTCTCGATATATCGGCTCGCTCGTCAGCGCCCCTTGGACGGACTCCACCAGGGGGAGGGGATGGGAGGTGGTGCACTGCACGGAAGGGGGGGGAAGGGGGGGGGGGGGGGAGGTACGCCCGTGCTCGTACCGGCAGTGTAGCACAGGCCAAAATTAATCCTGCGTGCACCGCCACCTGTGGTGCATCTGCTGGCGCAGGCCCAGCAGGCGCCTGGGCTCGCTGAGGATCGTGTGGTGGCAGAGCGAGGGATGCAGCAGCAGGGACGGCGGCAGATCCGTCATGTGCAGAGCCCCCGTATCAATGCCGGCCCGTGCGGTGTCAGTGGGGTGGCCCGGTTCCGCGTGAGCTCCCTTTCAGGTGGTGCTTGAGCGTTTAAGGGGGCGCAACTAAGGGGGCACCACGCAAGATGCCCGTGCAAGGGGACATTCATTTGCGCCTGGGGCATGCTCCGGCCTATGTATAGAGGTGGTGGCGGCAATGTGGGGGTGGAGTTGAGTATGCCTGGGGGGCGAGCGATGGGTGACTGTCCCGCAAGGGTGGTGGTGACGGACCACCCCCAGTCCAGGGCGTGAATTGTTGAGATGCTCCTGGGGACAACCACACCTAACACATGAGTGGGAGTGGGTGGAGAGCTCAATGGAGCGGGCCGTGCGTGGTCGGCCGAGGAAGAGGCCGTGGTGTAAATGCTGTAAATGCTGTTGGTGGCTGCGTGCCAGTGCTTCGTCTTATTGATAAGACCGTGGTGTGGTTGTTGGAGAGTGGGGGCGAAGCAGAGCAGTTGTATGGCGGAGCGGAGGCGCCTGCTGCATGGAAGGCTAGCATAGAACCGCCGGCACCGTAGTAGGTCCATGGAGCTGCTTCAGGCCATCCATGGTCGCTCACGACTTGGAAATGCGTGTGTGTGTTTTATTTGCATTTTAAACATGTTGCAGTCTGTACATATTGTGCTGTCGTCTTGTACAGCGCGGCCGAAGCCTGTGGCCAAACTACTGAAGATAAAACGAAAGAAATGTCTCACCCTCACTATTTACTCTCCTCCTCTATCCCACCTGCCTTTCTTCGTTCCATATTCCCCCTCCACCAATTGCTTCTCAAACGGTCCTTTGTATCAATGAGGAGATTGGTACAGGCTGAGTGCGCAAGAGAAGACAATGTCTGCTAACATGCAGTTCTGACCCCATACATCCGTGAGGAGAAAAAAGCATTGCATGCATTTCCACATCTCCGCAAGGCATTTGCAAGCCCCTTCCTTGCACCTCCCCTTCCCTTCCCCTTCCCCTTCCCCCATCTCTACACCAACCCCCATGTTTCCCCTTCCATACACCTTCCTCCACCGCCCCAGGCTCGAGATGCCACAACACGCATGAGTGCGTGTGTGGAGAAGGAGGGCGCGCATGCGTGTGTGCGGAAGCTGTTCAGAGACATGCCGGACTTGTGCGGATCATTCTATGCTTACTTCATCCAGGTGTGTTGTGAGTCGGTAGGTGTGTTGTGAGGCGACAGGTATGCACCAAGACCCCATTCCTAGCTGCACTCCTTGCCCCCTTCCTTTTGCCTACCTCCTCCTCCTCCTCCTCCTCCTCCTCCTCCTCCTCCTCCTCCTCGTCCTCATCCTCCTCCTCCTCATCCTCCTCCTCCTCCTCCTCCTCCTCCTCCTCCTCCTCCTCCTCCACCCACCCACAGTGCTAGTGGAGGGGGACCAGGTGGGAATTTTCTCTGCACTTCGTCCCTCTCACCCACCCCACCATCCTCGAGCAAGCCACTTTTCATACCCTCCACCTCCGCTCCCCCCACTCCCTCTTAGCAGTGGGGAAGCAGGTTTGAATGATCAACCTGGAGATACTTTTTGATTCCTCCCTTTTCATTGTTCCCATTCCACCCTCGTTGATACAGCCACTTTCCAACCTTCCCCCTCCTCCTTTCTCCTCTCCCCCTCTCCCCTTCTCCTTCCCCATCCTCCCTCCCCTTTCACCCTTCTCCGACTTCTCTCTCCCCCACCCCACACCTATCATCCCCCCCTTCTCTCTCTCCCCCCCTCCCCTCTTCGTGACTGGTTCCTCTGATTCCACCCACAGGCCTTCGTCTCCCTCCACTTCAGACACTGCATGGCCAAACCATACACCAAGCCGTTCCACTCCCTGCTATCCCTCTTCACCCCCTCCTCCCCCACCTCCCCTCACTTCCCCCTTCCCCTTTCCTCCCTCTCTCCCCCGTCCCCCCCACTGTCAGGACTGATTCCACTCCTTCCACCCACAGGCCTTCTCTTTCTCCAGTTGAGGACTACATGGCCAACCCACACCGAGCCACACCACCAGCCCCTCTCAACACACCCCAGTCCCCTTCATCCACTCCCACCCCCCCGTCGCCTCCCCTTTTCAGGACTGGTTCCGCTCCTTCCACCCCCAGGCCTTCCTCTTCCTGCGGTTCGAGGACTACATGGCCAACCCCCGCCCACACATCGCCCAAACCCTCGACTTCCTTGGCTTCCCCGCTGCTGACGTGGCGGAGGAGCAGTGGGCGGGGATCGTCGACCTGGAGCGCGTGGAGCAGCGGCTGGAAGGCATGGCGAGGGAGGAGCTGGATGGGGTCACACGGGAGTACCTGGAGGCGTTCTCCGCGCCTTTCAATGCAGATCTGGTGCGGTTGCTGCGTGATGAGAAGTATTCGTGGAAGAGAGGGCAGAGGTGATAGGGGACGGGTGGAGAGGAGAGAAAGAAGGGGGGAGAAGGGGGGGGGGGGAGGGGGGGATGGGGAGAGGGGGGTTAGGGAGGTAAGGAGGTGGGGGTGAGGGGAGTAATGTGCCGAAGTGTTTTATTGGCACAGAGTACTGGGTGGGTGGGTTGGTGGATGGGTGAGAGGCTTAGGGTTGGTCAATGACTCTGACTGGATGGCTTCATACACATTTTAGTTGTTTGTTGTATTGTACAGAAGTGCAACTGTTACTAGGCCTTTTAACTGTTGGAAGGCGTATCTTGTAAGAGGGAGTCGACAAAGCACGTTGATATCATTGATTATCCTGTCAAGATAAGCTTGGCCTAGGTTTAGGAGAAACATAGGCTAGGTACCAGCGGAAGCGAGATGACGAGAAGGTTGGCCAAAGAGGATTGCATTATGGAGCGACAAGTACAAATAGGAACAAGAAGCAAGATGGGTGTACCACCAACAGGGTTACTTGATATAACCACACTACAACTCTAGCTACAGAAAATTATAGATATATATTCTGACATGTCCACCCGCCCCGTTCGACCTTTCTCTAAAAGTATTCTGTTCTTGCCGAGGAGCGGGAGCAAGAACGATCGACTGCTCGCCCACCGAACTAGATGGGTCTAGGCGAAATATTTCAGAAGTTTATTCATGCAACGTACGTAGGTTGATTTGGCGTACCAGATACTCGAAGATTGCTGAATACATATTAAAATATGTTCCTCGTGAAGAGGCTGAAAAATTGGCTTATCTTGAAGAGATTTCAAATGATGTGCTATGTCTGGCCCAATTGAATCCGGCCGTGCCTGTCGGAAGCGGAGTTATAGTTGTCAAGAATAGAACTAGGAATGATGGATTGAACTAGGCAAGAGGTGAGTACAAGTAGGGGAAACCTAACCCTAAAGTGTTTTACTCACTAAGGAGTGACCCTACTGTAGCCTAGAGATACAATTGTAATCTGACACACCCCCATAGGCAAAGTAGGGGACAGCAAACACAACAAGCGGTCACAAGACCAGTCTGCAGAAGAGAACACCGCTCAGGGTGGATCACAAAGTCACCACGCATTCTGAGCACAAGCAAGTGGCCACAAGGCCAGTTCACATGCAGAGGTATATAATAGCAAGGCAGTACACTGATCACAACCTAGCAAGAAAAAACATGCAGGTAGTGTTATAGTCTGCAGTCCACTTAGGGGTCGCGGATGCCCATGAAACCGCCTAAGCAGAATCTGACGTCTTCAAACCGCCTCTGTTCAAAACGCCGTCACGATCAGCTCCGAGAACATACGAGGCTGAAACTTGGACAGCGGTTAGCCTTAGGTGTCTGCTTTCCAACGGTATATTACTTTTTATTATCAGAGGTGTGTGCACTACGCAGTGAACGAAAACGTAAGCTCGGCTGAAAAAACGTGTATTCTCATTGATGCAAGGAAGAGGTGAGTACAACATTGCCTAGGGGACTCATAAGGGGTTGGGTCATCCTGGGAACTCAGAGAAGGTTGAGTCCTAGGGGAGAAAGGCTAGAGAAGAATGGGAAACGTCCTAGCTAGGTCAGCAAAGCCAACCACACTTGGATGTTCAGAGCTGTACTCAAGGCTACCAATAGTGAGTCAAGCCAACATGAGTCAGCTTGTCTTCCCACTTGCACCCTCTTGCAAGTTGCTTCCAGGAAGACCACACTTCTCAAAAGGAGGGTTGTAGAGTCCCACTTGACCACCTGTACTTCTTGTCTCATTCTCTGTCCCTGCACCATTGGCATGACAACAATGAAAGGGTGGCAAGGGAAATGCTGCCAACAGTGCACCATGACTACGGAACAATGAATTTCGGCAGCTGTCACGCAATGCTCAGATGTTGGATCGTTCTGAAACTTGGTGACCACTTGCACAGCGGGGCAAAGGACTGCCAGACCGAATTTAAGACCAATCAGATCTCGATAGACGAGTCAGCAGCCGAAATGGTGAACCCGGGTGTTACCAAAAAGGAGTAACACACACTTCCGGGATGCCATAAGTCTTGAAACATAAAATGTTGTCATGCCTTGGTAACTGCTTCAAAAACTCTGAAACTTTGAGGGTTTGAAGAAAACGTGTTGAACAACCTCCCCACAAAATTCCAGAAGCTGAGCAGGCTTGTAGGCCGAATGGGAGTGCGATGACCGTGCCACTGTAATGTGTTGGCACAACAAACTCCCCCTCATCGTGCTCTCATTCATCCCTTAGCTGCTCCCTGAAGCTGCCTCCCTTAGTAGAAGGACATGCCACACAAGGTGGCGCAGGTCCAATGCTGATGCTCTGCAAGCCGCTTTGTCAAAAAATCTGCAGGTTGCTTGGTAGTGTTGATGTAGTGCAAGGAGACCGTGCCCTTCTTCACCTCCTTCCTCACCCAATGCCATTTGATATGCATGTGCTTGTTCAGCCCATGGAGCACAGCATTGCGAGCCATTGCAATTGCTCCTTGGCTGTCACAAAACACAGGAGTAGGACCCTCTTGCTCCTGCCCCAACTCCTCAAGCAACCTCCTCATCCAAACCACCTCCTTCACCCCATGAAACAACGCCATGTACTCGCTCTCCGTTGATGAGTGAGCTATCTCCCCTTGCTTCTTAGACTTCCAGCTCACTGGACTCCCTCCAACACAGCATACATAGCCACCGTGGGATGTTGCATCACTGATGTCACTTGCCCAGGTAGCATCGGTGAAGCACGAGAGGTACAAGTGTCCACGCCTTGCAGGTGCACCGGTCTTCGTGCTCACCTCCTCCACTCCCTTTTGCTTCAGCTGCCCATGCACTGAATATTGCAGCCCCACCCTTGAGGTTGCCATGCAGTACCTCACCAGCCTCTCTGCTGCATCAAGGTGCTCTTGAAGGGGCCTAGACACCACACGAGCCAGCTGCGAAACCGCGAATGAAATATCGGGGCGAGTGTTGACCGAAGCATACATCAAGCTCCCCACCATTGACTGGAACCGACGCTGCAACTCGGGCTCCAACACCTCACCCTCCTCTTCATCAAGGTGTAGCTGAAATCCTGAGGGTAGTGGAGTCTTTACACTCCTCCCTTCCTCCAGCCCATACCTCTCCCCCATGGCTGCAAGGTACTTGTGTTGGTGAAGCCTCAACCATCCCTTCACCTCGTCCCGCTCCACGTGAAGACCAAGGTAATACCCCACTGGTCCAAGGGCCTTGCATTGAAAGGTCTCCTTCAGCTTCCCTTGCACCTCCTTGATCCTCTCCAGGGATGGAGAGAAGAGGAGAATGTCATCGACGTAGACAAGGAGAAACACTTTCTCCTCATCCCCCTCGGTTATGAAGAGACTCTCGTCGCACCCGCTAACTTTGAAGCCAAGAGCCTCCAACGCCTCCACCAGCCTTGCATACCAGCACCTTGGAGCTTGTTTGAGGCCATAGATGGCCTTGTTGAGCCTGCAAACACGTCCGCTCCCATCGTCGTACCCCTCTGGCTGCTTCATGTAAATCTCCTCATCTACCACGCCATAGAGGAAAGCCGTCTTCACATCCATTTGCTCCACCTTCCAACCACAAACGGCAGCTGCTGCCAGCAACACCCGGAGCGTAGGAGCCTTGGCAACAGGAGCAAACACCTCCTTAAAGTCAACCCCCTCCCTCTGCTGGAAACCCTTGATCACAAGTCTTGTTTTGCGCCTCTCCAACTTCCCCTCCGCATCGGTCTTCACACGTAATATCCACGTGCAATCCAATGCCTTTCTTCCTGGGGGCAGATTGGTGAGGGTCCACGTTCCATTCTCCATGAGGCTCTTGAACTCATCCTCCCTTGAAGCCAACCAAGCCTCTCGATCATCTCCAGCAAGTGCTTCCTCCATCGAAGCCGGTTCATGAGGTAAGTTGACACCGAAGCAACAAATCTGCTCCATCTCTCCCTCGGCTCCCTTCTCCTCATCATCTTCCTCCTCCTGGACCAGCAATGCCTTGGGACCCCCAAGCCTTTCATACTTGAGGAAATCCCTTGGGTGAGCAGCTCTCTTGGGCCTCTCCTTGGCTGCACTCTCCTTAGCTCCACCACGGACAGCACCACGCTTCCCTTGGGTTGTCCGCCTTGGTGGAAGAGTAGGGGACGGTGTAGGCTGCTGCACCTCCTCGGCATCACCTCTCTCAGCTACAGGGGCCTTCTCTTGCTGCAACACTCCCTCCACCTCTGCTGCCTCCCCTTCAGCACCTCCCAAGTCATGTGACACCTCCGTTACCTCTGAAGACGAAGACAACTCGATGGGAATGAAGAGTGGGTCATTCGTTCCCACCTCTATTCCGAGCGGAATGGTGACCTTGCTCCTCCCTCGCTCCAACCACTCCTTGAACATGAGCCCCTCCATGAACTTGGCATCTCTGGTGGTGAAGATGGTGTTGGCTATTGGGTCCCACATGAGCCACCCCTTGCTCCCTTGTGCAAGTCCCAAATGAACAGCCCACACCGCCGCCGCTTGAAGCTTGTCACGCTTTTCCTTAGGGACGTGCACGAGTCCCATGCACCCAAAGACTCGAAGCATATCCACCAGAGGCTTCTTGCCCCTCCATTTCTCCATAGGGACCCAATGCTGCCCTCCCACATGAGTCAATACTCGGTTCTTGATGACGGTGGCATGGCGAATAGCGAGGGGCCAGAACCGTAAGGGTAGACCCGAGTCTACCAACATCGTTCTCCCGCCCTCCAAGATGGTCCGGTTCGCTCTCTCTGCCACGCCATTGGATTGAGGGGTGTAGGCCGTGGTGAGCTGCTGCTTGATGCCATGCCGCTTCAGCCAGCTCCGGAACTCCGCTCCCAAGAACTCCCCACCATGGTCACTACGTATCGCCTTCACCCGCTTGCCGCTCTCTCGCTCCACCATGGGCAGCCACTCTTCAATGATGACCCTTGCAGCATCACTCTTCTTTGCAAGTGGAAAGGACCAGGTGAGCCTTGTGTTGTCATCCACCATGGTCATAGAATACAGGGCCCCACC